ATACGCTTATACCTGAGCTCATAAATATGTTATTATTTTATTGAATCTTTCAGGATTTATGTCATTCTAACGTTATTTATTTAAGGAAATATAAATATTATATAACATATAAACAAACAATGTATTAATATTATTAGTAAACCAAATATTCGAAGATGCAAATATTATTAGTGAGCCAAGTATCCGTAGACGCAAATATTATTATGTTTTTTATATACATAATATTATCTGCAATCAATTCGAATAAGTTACTTATATAGGTGTAATGTATGTAAATTATAAGTAATAAACATATTAACATATGAACCCGTTTCCTCACCACCATAGAGGTAGAGTTCCCGGCGCGTTTTTTTAAGTGGTGTCCCCAATAGGCCTAATCCACTTTAAACTGGGAAATGCAGGTCTCTTGTAATGTAATGAAAGATACATATATATATATATATATATATATATATATATATATATATATATATATATATATATATATATATATATATATAAAAATACTTAAGGAACGAATATACTAACAAAAATAACTACATGTGTAGAATTTAATCCAAGTCAAGAAAGAAGAAACAAACGAAATGAACGAAATTAACTAAAGTTAGGTAGATACTGAAAATATTTAATTTTTTACAATTTCTGGACCATGATCAATATTTTCTGGTAGCATCCTTTCAGCTGCATCAGTAATTTCATTTAAGAGTTGAATAGATGGATATCTCATATTTTGTTCATATCTAGCATAACTCAAAAACCATAATACACTGGCCACATGTTCCTAAAGGTCTAGCTCCCGACTTGCAAGTACAATAATAGTGAAGTTCTAAAGGCTGATGATCGACATTTTCGTCAATCGTAAAATACATCCACAACATATACTTACATATAATACAAAATCTGAAGTACACTCGGATTCGTATAATGCTCGAATCCTCCACCAATTCGTCAAATTGAAGAATATTAGTTTCTTCTCTTTAAAGTTTATCTTGAATATAACTTTTTGCCAAGTTTACATGATAAATTCCAGTCAGCTGCATTAAATAGTGTAAGTCTAAACGGAGGAACTCATGAGCGTGCAAGTGCTTTAATAAAACCCACTGACCGTCCCTTAAATGTAGATTTTCAGCTTCAACTCGTGCTTGTAAAATATTTACTTCGTCCAATTTACCTAATATTTGTTGCGCCATTTGTATTGTACCGGGCATGGTTATTGAGGGATGGAATTTATTAATAAGAGCTCCAGCTATCTGATAATATTCGTTTAAATTAGCAGCATGGTGTATCGAAATAGTGTTATTTAAAAACTTGAATATAGATTTTAAATGTCCATTACGAGATTCGACTATCCAACGTGTGGTTGTAATATATCGAGCAAAATTAGCATCACGTGTTTCTAATTGAGCCTGTCCTCTAACAAGAAGAGGGGGCATCAGACAGTTGATACCATACTCTTGCAATAACGGAACAGAATCTCGATATCCTCTGTCTACAATTGCAATGTCCCCTTCTTCAAACCAAGCTCTCATTCCATTCATGTAATTGTTTAGTTCATACTGTAAAATAGTGGCATCATTGTTTCGGACGTCCGAAAAATATGGTCCATTAATAGCCAGAATGTAACCATCGGGAGCGACTATCAACTCAGGTTTTACCTTAGATAAAAGAAGGTTTTACCAAATGCTGCATTTTATAATAGCAGTACGATTGTCTAAGTACTCTAAAATTAGAACTTTTTTCTAGTTTGTTATATGTGCAGTCTATATACACTATGGCTTTGGGAAGATCAGGAGTAGGATTATACAGTGTATTTGTAAATCCATAGACATGTCTGTCTATATAGTTGGCTCTGGTAATTGCGTTAAATCCTATATTATATGGTACATATCGTTGCATTAGACATAACCGCACCTTATTAATAACTAAACCATTTATTTGTCGAGAAGGATATTGAAATATAACTTTTAAAAAATTATCTGATAAACCGTGTCTCATTTTTTTAGGAGAAATAATGTTAAGTATTTTCTTGTTATATTTACACGATTTCCATCTTGTTCAAAAAAATTGCAGGTCTCATACAACTCGTTGAAATTATTTTTGGAAATCGATGTTAACGATTTAAATTCCTGTTCTGTAAAGTTATCTACATTTTCATAGGTTCGACCATGATTACTGGTAGCAACTGTTCGAAGACACTGGAGAAATTGAAGTAGATTATTTATTACATATGGACGGTTAAGAGAACGTAATCCACCTTGCAACATGTTCGAAAGAGTTCCGTTTTCGTTAAGATGATGCTGACATATTCGCACATAGTCCGGAACAACTATATTTGAAACAATTAATATATTTACCCTACACTCAATAAAGAGCCTCCGAATATTTTCATTGGCATTACATATTATACAAGCGTTGGATTTAGCTGGAAAAAGTACGTTGATTCTGAGACAATTGGGATTATTTTGCATGGCTCTGATGTCTACCAATATAAGTTGAAAACAATTAAAAGGAACCCTACTATCTTTATCAATATTCAAAGGTGGTCTTTCACAAGCTTCACGTCTCAAAATTGCAAGTTCTTGCTGTAAAATGTTTTCTTCGTCATAGAGGCGATTCATTTGTCATCTATTATAATTTCTGTTACACACATAACAGTTTGCTCTATTTGCAAAAGCCATAATTAACACTTAAAACACTTAAACATAAAGTTTACCCAACGTAAAAATTATTAATAAGAAACTGAACGAAATATTATATTATATTAAATTATATTATATTTATTATATTACTTTTTAAAATTTATGAGACAATAGAAACATCTAAACAAAACACTTGTTAATAAGAAAAACACCAGAATGTTTTGTGCTAACAAATTATTTTGGACAGATACGTCAAAATAAGTAACAAGTTTTCACAGCCCACATAGATAAAAAGCAACTCTTAATATTAGATTTTAAATTATCTTGGCTCATGATTATCTTCTCTAAAGGAAATAATCTTGAATGACGATTATGTATTCTTAGTAAAAGAGTTTTTGTCGTCTTGCCGTTTATCCATGATATTCTTGCCAAATAAAATCCTTAGGCTGGTGATCTTAAAAATGTAACATTCAACTTCGCTGATCTTAAACTGAGACTCTGATATGTGCAATTAGTCAAAATTGCAATAATTCTCTTGTTAGAAGAACACGTCCCCTCCCTCCACGCGGTCAAGTTACCGGTTAGGTGTGGTGTGATGTGTTTCATCATTCTATTGTTAGTCGTTATTCTAATATCGAAGTAAACGGAAGTGTTGCGTGTTATAGTTAAAAAAAGTTTGCAGTATGAGTGAACTATCAGAATTTTTAAACAAATGGAAAATAGGGCATCTGCTTGTCGCCTTTGAAGGTACGTACTTACATATACATACATATGATATTAAAATCTGTTTAAGTATTAATTGTGCTTAGTTCAAAAGAATTATTGCATTAAAAATATTCTGTCGTGTAATTAGTAAATATGCAATGAAGATTTACTAAATGTTTTGTATAATTTCTTGTGTTGTAATTAGTAAGTTCATATTGAAGATTTACTAAAGGATGTTCTGTATCTATATAGCTTTTAGTTATTCATTAAAAGACGCCATTTTTATAGAAATTAAGCGTCCTATTAGAGCCTCAATTCAAGATAATTGCCTAAAATCAAGGACATATATATTTTTATTAAAAACTTGGAAATCTTGTAGAAAGATTATTTTATAAGCAGTAGAGCCTCAATTCAAGATAATTGTCTAAAATCAAGGATATTATGTCTTTTAAAGAAAGATTTTAGAATCTTGTAGAAAGATTATTCTATGGAAGTAAAACTTCAATATTAGATTAATTGCTTAAAATCAAGGATATAAATTATGTCTTTTTAAGAAAGACTTCGTCTGATGTACTGTTCCATTGGAAAAACTCCTACAAAATACGTAAATTGGAACCGGCGGAAACCATCGAAAGTTTCATAGAAAAATGGCCTATTTTAAAGAGTCCTTTAGCTCCAGAACTGGAATGCGATATTAATCTAGAACATTTTATTTCTTTGCAATAACTGCCTTTTTTTAAGGTAAATGTGGACTTTCAAATTAAACATAGTCAACCAGAGGATTTTCATTTGGACAATTTTCACAATTTTTTCGATGATGGGGTGGCTTTAAGGAAAAATTCGTTAACGGCGACAGACACTACGCTATTAGAATTATTGGATGGGGAATTAACAAATGGTAAATATATTATTTGTAAGTCCCTTCCCCTCTATTTATTTCCATTGTATTTGCTCTATTCTAAACACAACGTTTTTCTTTTCTAGATTCAGCTACAGCAATAAAATTGTATATATTACCAGCATTAGTTCCTCCCAAGACTCAGGTTCAAGCGGGTAAAACCAATTGAAAACCGTCGATAAGTGAGGCACGAGATGCTTTTTTAGTATATGTCAAAATTCCGGGAGATTTAGAAAAAGCAAAAAAGGATCAAATTGACTATATGTTTAAAAAAGGATTAACCGTTCAACCATATATAATACTAATAGGACCGACATTAAGTAATATTACAGGTAGCTTTGTCATTGTTAACAATTATGAATACAAATGTATGTCCGTAATCGACGCTCTCGATTTTTGTTTTAAAATGTACCAAATTTTAGACGCTAAATATCCTGTCCAATGTTCACATTTATGGTATCTATTGCAGTGGCAACTTTACAAATATTTTACAGAATTTGATCCTGTAATCCCCCATATTAATGATTTGCTGTAAAATATATTGTTATTTACCAACGAGGTTATCTAAGACATAGCTTTTACTACTTTTATCACTTATATTTACCGAAAAAGTATTTTTATCCTAAGAATAATATTTTAAAATTATAATGGACGCAACTACAAATAGTTTTACTTGTTTTAAATGTAGCAGAAAATTCTATTCAACTAAGACGTTACTGGGTCATTTAAAATATTTTCATCCTTATTTACCAAAATATATGTGCAAGCAAATGGAATGTGATCGATCCTATAGAGATTTAAATGGGTTATGCAAGCATTTGTTATCAAATCACTTAACCAACGAAAATAAGTCAATGCATATGTCTTCTTTACCAAATACTAATGTAACTTCCCAAGTATTTAATAACTCTAAAGTATCAGACAAGAACAATATGCCAGATGCTATTATCTCATCTGACTGCGACAATAATATCGATTTAATACTTGGTAATTTTATTTTAAAACTTTACGGAAATAACTCACTAAATAGAGGCATTGTTCAACAATTTATGACTTACAGCCATGAACTAATTGATACAATTTTTTTGTATATTAGCGAAAAAGTTAATACCAACTCAGAACTTTCAGAAAAACTAAATTTCACATTTAGTGAAATAAATAATTCATTTGTAAAATTTGGCACCGAGTATAAAAGAATGAAGTATTTGGAACAAAAAAAATTACTTATAAAGCCAAATCATTTTACATTTGGAACAGCTAGTTCTTTAACTCAAATTAACATTCCAAGTTATCCTGAAGTTTCTGTCAAATCAGTTAAAGGTCAAAGAATATCAATAAAGTCAACTTTAGAGGTTTTTTACAATTGCCAAATGTTTATGAAGATATGACGGCATTTGTTCAATTAGAAGAAAATATTAGTCCAGGGTTGTATACTAGTGTGTTTCAAGGAAAATTATGGAAATCACTAAGAAAAAAATTTAACGCAAAGACTGTTTTCCCAATTTTTTTATTTTTTGATGATTTTGAACCCCTGAACCCTTTAGGATCTAGAGCTGGAAACTACAAAATTGGTGCTCTCTATATGTCATTGGGTAGTGTACCACTCGAGTATTGCTCATTACTTGAGAATATATTTTTAATTCAACTAACTTACTCTTCGGATAGAACCACGCATGGAAATAAAAATGTTTTTCAAAATATTCTTGATGAATTATGCTACCTGGAAACTCAGGGAATTACTGTTAATATTCGTGGTAAAGAAAAAATATTGCATTTTGTATTGCTTTTAATTATAGGTGATAACTTGGGTTTAAATTCTTTAATGGGATTTACTGAAAGCTTCAATTCTGAAAATTTTTGTAGGATATGTTTAACTCCGAAAAGCATAACCCAAACAGAGACCGATGCTTCACATTTTGTGTTACGTACAAAAGAGAATTATGATATGGATAGTTCATCTCTTTCACATTTGGAATTGTTTGCCGAATTTTCACGTCACTGAAAATTTTTCTTGTGATTTAATGCACGACTGCTTTGAAGGCATATTACGATATGATATGGCATTTATAATAGATGGTTTGTTAAATAAGAAATATTTTGACATTGACCTTTTAAATAATAGAATCAAATTTTTTAAATTCTCTAGAGCTGATGCTGGAAATCCAATGCCCCAAATTAAACTGGAGCATTTAAGACGTAAACACATAACGATGAGCGCGTCAGAGATGTTATGTTTTACAGTTTACTTTGGTTTACTTGTTGGAGACTTGGTACCTGAAACAGAGCCAATTTGGAGTTTTTATATTTTAATCCTTCAAATTGTTGACATTTTACTCGAAAGACAATTTTCGGAAACTTTAGTTGAGTATCTTGAGGTATTAATTAGAGAGCATCATGACATGTATATTGATTTGTTTCAGGAAAATTTGAAACCAAAATATCATTTACTATTGCACTACCCCATTGTTATTAGAAATTTAGGACCACCAAGATTTTACTGGTGTATGAGGTATGAAGCTTTTCACAGACAACTGAAACAAACCGCTAACTCAGTTACTTGTCGAAAAAATTTGTTAGTAACACTATCCCTTAAACAACAGCTGAAATTATCGGGTAGACTTTCAGATAAAAGAGGATTTCAAACCAAGGTAGACTTTGGTCCGCGATATGTAATACCTGAAAAAATAGTAACAAAATTTAAGTTGTCAAAAACATTTTTTAGCGTGTCTTGGATAACCATTAACAATATTTTGTACAAAAAAGACTTTGCGTTACAACTTTGCGAGAGTAAATTTGGTCAAATTAAGAACATTTTTACAAATGAAAAGACTATATATTTTATGTTGCAACCACTTAAGACTGTTGGCTTTTGTAAACATGTGCAAGCTTTTGAAATAATATTTCAAGGCGGTGTAACAAATGCTGAAGACTTATTTGTCACATCATTTGATAATATGACTTATTCTAAGCAAGTTCATAACTTTCATTTTACTGGTAACGGAACCTGTTTTATTTCTGTTATAAAGTAGTTCATAGGTCACGGTGAAATATTTTAAAATTATTTTGTCCAACTTTTCAGATAAAGTTTCATCGCTGTCTATTACTTTTTAAATTTAGTAATGTGGCAAAATTAAAATAACTGATTTTGTTTGTTCCTTTTAGATTAGTAATAACTTAAGATTAGCCTATAATAATAAATAATAATCGTGGTCATTGTTAAATTGTAACTACGTAGCCTTTTTTTTATCATCTTATTTTTACGTTAAAAACTGTAAATATAAGAAAAGTTATTTGAGTTTAAAGTGTTAAAAATATTGTAAGCGCTACAGCAATGTCTTTTCATTGTGTTGCACCTAAATTAATATTTAAATGATAATTTAACATTAGCCACGAATAAACTGTGTTTTATTAAAAAGAGTTTTTATTTTATTTATTTTTTTTTAGTTGGGTTTAGCTCACTGCCTTCTTTTTATAAATTTTTAACAGAATAAATGTATCAAAGTTTAATTTCTGCTCATTTGTTTTATTTCTGATAAATTCCAAATTCCGTTATATTTAATATTCCCTTTAGATTTTTTTATTTTAAGAGTTTGAAAAAGTATCTTTTTGTAATTGTTTTATATGCAGAAGAAAGTTCTAAGGAGTAAAGTGAGAGCTCAATTGTTTTTATGAATAGATTTGCTTTCTGCAGAAAAAGATACAGATTTTGTATTATTTTTTTATATATAAAAATGAAAGTAAAGGATTTGCAAATATCTTAAGACATTGTGCACCATTCAGGCTTTGATTTAAAGAAATATACAATATGTCTACTTAAGTCGGCACCATATCAGAATTTTTTTATTATTAGTTTTATGCAAAAAAGTATTCGCCATGAAAAGTTCTGCTTGGTCTAAACCCAAAATTCAACTATTAAATATATTTTTTTTTTCAGTTACGTAGGTACGAAGTTCATCTGAAAATATGAATTTTATGCAAGAGTAAATATCCTTATTTTTAACAATTTTGAAAATTGTTATAAAGGAAAGTTTACCAGAATTATTGAAAACTACGGTCATACATTTAATATTATTTGTCTACTAAAAAACTTTATCTCTAATGCTTTTTGACAAAAATACGAAATATACATTTAATTTTGCAAATCGTAGAACTGATTTTTAATGGTTGAGATAATATTAAATATCTTACAGTAGTTTTTAATTTTGATCAAGTTTTCTTAACAAAAATTTTGAATGTTTTAAAAAATTTACTCCCACATAAAATTCATATATTTCGACAAACCTCGTACATGACTGAAAAAATGTAATGCCTAATGACTGCATTTTTGGTTTTATACCGCGCAGAACTTTTATGAAAATATCTTTTTTTTTAACTGATAATAAAAAAGTTTCCCATATGGTGCCGACTTAATTAGACACTCTGTATACTCTTGAACGAAGAAACTATTGTTCTGTTCCAAGTAAATATTCTCTTGCCCAAAGAAAATATTTTCTTGATTGAAGGAAATGTTCTCTGTAATAAACAAAATATTCTCTTAATTGAAGAAAATATTCTCTTAATCGAAGAAAATATTCTCTAGATCAAAGAAAATAATTCTCTTATCAAAAAAAAATATTGCTGAACCTAGAAAATATTTTTCGATCGAAGAAAATATTGTCTTGGGCCAAGAAAATAATCTCTTGAAACAAGAACATATTTTCTTGGGTAAAGTTTCATGTGATTGAAAGAAAATCATAAAAATCTTAAAATAAAGTAATACACGAATATAAGTATCACCATCCAAAGATTTCGTGCTTGACACGAGATTATTTATTACTTAATGGGAAGGACGTGTACTTAAGTTAAGACATTTTATGTATTCATTCCCAAGTTAATGGTTCTTTAGTCAAGTTTTAAATCCTTAGGACAAAGATAATAACCAAAAATTTAAGAAACTTGACCCAAGGCATTTACCTTTAGCCTTAGTACATATTACCTCCTACTAAGAACTTTAATGATCCTTAAATTCAAGGAAACGGCTGACTTTTGTTAAGAACATATTTCTTTGGCCCTATTCAAAGACATGGCGATCTCGGTTTAAATTCGTTTTGCCTTTAGTTAAGATATCCTTTTTATCTGTGCATGATCGTTCACTGCAGTTAGGTTTTTTAGTATAAATTCATGGTTTTTCGAATGACTATTAAAGTCATAGTTTTTAAAAATTAAAGAAAATTGAAATAAGAAAGTTAAGCTCTTTTTATCTTTTGTCTACGATACAGGGATATACAAGGAAATACAGAGTTATACAAGAAAATTCAGAATTATAAAAATCGGTAATCCAAATTGTCTCAGAATTAACGTACTTTTTCCAGCTAAATCCAATACTCGCATGATATGTAACGCTAATGATAATTTTCGGAGGCTTTCTATTGAGTGTATATATTTATTATTTCTTAGTTGTCCCTGACTATGTACGAATGTGATAGCATTGTCTTAACAAAGACGGAACTATTTTGAACATAGTGTATGGTGGGTTACGTTCTCTTAACCGTCAATATGTAAGAAATGATCTACTTTAATTTCTCCAGAGTCTTCGAACAGTTGCTAATAGTAATCACAATCATGGTCTAAAGTATGAAGCTATAGATAATTTTACAGAAAACGAATTTAAACCATATCAAAGAATTCAAAATAAAATTTCAACGAAGTGTTGCAATTTTTTTGAACAAGATGGAAATATAACAATAAATACTTGACAAGTTTTTTTCTAGAGAATTAAACATGGTGTATCAGATAAGTTTTTAAAGTTATATCTCAATATCCTTCTCGACAAGCATCAACTAGTTTAGTTATGAATAAGATGCGGTTATGTCTAATGAAAAAACATATTAATATTTGCGTCTTCGGATATTTGGCTCACTAATAATATTTGCATCTTCAGATATTTGGCTTACTAATAATATTAATACATTGTTTGTTTATATGGTACATATTATTTATATTTCCTTAAACAAATAACGTTAGAATGACATAAATCCTGAAATATTCAATAAAATAATAACATATTTATGAGCTCAGGTATAAGCGTATACATTGTGACAGTCTTGTCATCACAAAGTCGATATGAAAAAACTGATTATAGTAACTTCGCAAAACTTCTATAGGGGACTAACAAACTCAAATCAAAGACAATAAGAAAAAATTAAAGAAATTAACGAAGAAAATATTAAATTACAGGATGATTCGCAGAAAAAATCAATTTTCGTAATTTTCTACCTTATATACCTTTTGAATTACCCTGTATTTAATTTATAAATTATATATTTTTGAAAATGGTTTAATGTCGACTACTGACTTGTATTACAAAATATATAAAATTGTATTAAAAATAACCTGCAGAGTCGGTCTACTTTTTGACTCACCCTGTATAAAATGTTTTTATACCTTCTTATAATAAGTCCAACTAAAGTTAATTCAGACCAAATATTAATATTTTCATATTTCCACTGTAAAGTAGAATGCACAGCATCAATAATTTTTTTTGGTGATTTTTGAATCACCCTGTATCAAATAATACTTTTTCTACATAAAGCAATATTATTTGATGTTATCAGAATACTATTACAGCAAAAAATCCTTAATATATTAAGAAAATTACATTTTAATACGTTTTAAATAATGGCCATTTTTCAACTTCATCACCCTGTATGTTGAAAACTGGCCATATGATTGAGTTGTGCCCATGGACACTATTGTTCAGGAAGTCAATATCTTCAACATACTAAAAATTCAGGCATATTAACCGGAACCAATTTCTCCATAAGCCGGCTGCCTGGTCCTTTAGGACAGTGCTCCGCAACCTTTCCTCATCTGAGGCACACCAAACTGCTCCCTAGAATTTCGTGGCACACCAAAATCTAAAATATATTTATAGCAGTGGCGTAGATAGGTCGGGGGTCAGTTCACTCCATGTATACTAATTATTTATGGATGTCCAAACTACCTTAGTTTTTTTTATTGTTTTAAAATGTGAAGAAGCCCCTTTCAGATTTGGGGCATCAAAATTTTCACTCAGGACATAATACATATTTTTTTTTTATTTTTTTTTATTATTCAGATAGAATGAAAAATACAAATAGGTACATACATGAGAACTATACTAAATACTAGGTAGGACAGGTAGGTATACTAAATTTACTTCTGTTGACACGTCAATAGTAATAAATATTTTGACATGATGATGACTGATTAATGTGATACCTGCGCTTGCTTCGTTGAACACAAAAGTTTTATATTCGGCTCAATTTTAGACAGCGCAACTCTCATTTCTTGGTCAAGATCTTTTAAGCATGACCGTTTATTATTTTTAATTAATACAAGCGTTGAAAAACTTTGCTCACATAAATATGTTGTGGAAAACGGAAGTAGTGTGAAGATGGCCTTGTCGGTGATGCGTGGATATTCTGTCTTGATGGAAATCCAGAAAACATCTAACGGAACTTCGTCGAATTTAAGTTTTAGGGTCATATCATTACTTAATTCTGTGAACTCCTCTCGAGTTTGCAATGGCAGTGCTTCCGTGGAACTTATTGCATTGGTTGCGAAAGGATTTCGAATCCAATTGTATTGTTCCGTGTTGATAGAATGGAAATAGTATTCAAATTTTTGTTGAAGCATACTTAAATGTTGTTGGGCCAAATCCACAATCAACTGCTTGTTTTAGATCGTACTGTGGTTGGTCCTGTGATACATTTCTAGACATCCTTTTTGCAACTGTTCCTGCCAAAGTTAAAGTTTCTTTTTGAACCCTTGTAATTTATCGGAGCACGTCAATATATTTTCATTCCGTCCTTGCATTTTTTTATTAAGTTCATTCAGATGTTCGAATATATCCGCCATGTATGCAAGTTTGGCTATCCAGTATTCATCATGAAGGTGCTGGCATAGATCGTACATATCTTGACTTGAAAGAAACTCACGCACTTCGTAGCGAAGTTCAAACAGTCGAGCTAAAACTTTTCCCCGGGATAACCAACGAACTTCTGTATAA